ACATCTCATGACAGTCTCTACCTCAAGATGTCTATTAGAGGAATAATGTTTCATTACATGAGAAAGGGGAACTGGAGGAGAGGAGGGGAGATTCTCAGGGGTGGGGGATGGTTAAATACTACATCTGACATGTTGGCCATCAGTGAGTTTTCCCATTCTTTGCTTCCAGTGTTTGTGGAAAGGACAATGATTAATTTTGGCAGAGGCAGCTGAATCTGACAGTTCCTCCTGTCAGAGATAGCTGACAGGGATTTTGATCTGCCCAGAATAAACTAGAGAAGTTGGGGGCAGCAGATGGAAAGTGTAATAGGCACACAGGCACAATTTCTTTTGACACATGGGCATTCATGGCCTCCCTCCCACCTCTCCTCCCAATCAAGGAGAATTCTGGCAATGTCATTTTGGTATTTATTATTTTCCTAGAGCTCTGTGGCCTAATTTACAGTGAAAGAAACTTGTGAGCCAAGATGGGTTAACTGAATTGGAAAGGATCTGTGGAGGAAGGGTCCTTCTCCAGAAAGGGGAAAAATGGAAAGGTAGTAGGTAAAAGGGAAATGGAAAGGGAAAGGCAGCAATCAATGCCCACATTTTGGGGATACCATAGCATATATAAAGAATGAAAGAGGCAGGTAGTGCTGGCTTGGGTAAGGAATTGCTTTGGGGCTTAAAAGAGGCAGATAGTGAAAGGAAAATAAGGAAATCAATGTTGATTTTTTATTGCAAGATGATGGTCTTTTGGATGCAATGATCCACAAAGACAAGTTTATATAAGCCCCAAGATTTATTAAGACCATGGAATCACACCTTGTGGCAAAGTAAAAGAGGCAAGAGAAACCCCCAGTTAACTTAAGAATTCGGTCATTACCAAATTACTTCCTCCCAGCATTAGTACTTGCTTCCAGGTTCACCTCCTCCTGTTTTCAGGAGCTGGGCAGATCATAGCTGAGCTGTGGGGCCAGCCTACTCCTGGTTCATCCTTATTCTTAGTGTGAGTTCTTTCAGAGACCGAACCCAAACAAGGAGTTTCATAGGCCCTCCCATCCTCAGCCAATCCCTGTTCCCTCAGCCAGTCAAAGTTGTCAAAAGCAACACTCAGCCTCTCAGCACACTCTCTACCCCTGCTCCTAGAAACAACAAATTCTCCCCAGAAAAGCAGCCCTGAACACCAGCCTGGCATTTCTGACCTTTCCATCTCCCCTAGATTCTGGCCTGGTACTCCTTCACCATCTGGTAAACGCTGATGCCTTCAAGCACTGTGTGTGTGTGTGTGTGTCTAAAATTTATAATATATTAATAGCTTAACATACACACATATAAATATATATGTATATATAACTATATAAAATATATATGATAAATAAATATATGTATATATGTGTGTGTGTATTTTAGAGTAGCTTTTCTAGTTGTTCTATTTAGGAGGGTTGTTTAAAATTATCTAAAGCTTCATTAATGGATGTGGAAGTCCCTTACCACCCCACTGTAAAGATGAGGCACAGAGAAGTTAGGTAACTTTCTCAAGTTCACATCACTGTCAAGTAGTGGACCCGGAATTCAACCCAGGGAGACCTGCACCACATCTGTTTTCTCAAGCATCTTCTCCCTACAAGGGTAATACACATTGCTTGCTGGTGATATGAGAACAAATCTTGGAAAATCCTGAGGAATAAATTTCTAACATCCACTCCAGTATTTCTACCAAAGATTATGAGAAAATAGCTCTGGGAATGCCTCATAGCAGAAGATTCAAAGGGCCAGCCAAAAATGGGAAACACCTTACATGGATAAATATTACATATTCACACGAGATATGCCAGTAAAAAAGATTGAGCTACCGAAACATGCAGCACACATTAGCCTAAAATACATTATTCTATTTTTTAGAGACTTTATTTTAGAGAGAGTGAGAAAGAGTGAGCAGGGGAAGAGTCAAAAAGAGAGGGAGAGAGAAAATCTCAAGAAGACTCAGCACTGAGCCCAGAGCCAGACACGGGGCTGGATCTCACAACCCTGAGATCATGGCCTGAATCAAAACCAGGAGTCAGAGGCATGACTGACTGAGTCATCCAAATGCCCCTAAAATACATTATTCTGAGGGGGGAAAAGCACCTTATTCTTTTGTGTTTTATGTTCCTTTTTTTATTTTTTAAATCATTTGTGAAAGTTCAATGTTTTTATCTGATAGGATTTCAAGGATTAGGGCTAATCTAATTCTGCTGATTAATAGTTTCCTTGTGTAATTTGTCATTTTGGATTGTGAGTTCACCTTAAGTGGGCTTTATCTATGAGAATCTTAAGGCCAGGTTGAGGGTGTTTCGAAGAGCACTTAGTTTAGTGCTCACTTCTGCTAGTATGTCACCTTTCCCCATTAGGCTTTTTATTAGAATCTCTCAGTTTATGGACTTTTGAGACTATGAAACTAGTGTAAATTCAAACTTCAATAGGTAAGTGTTAGGCCCATGGTTATGCTTTCTCAGGGAAGTCTAGTTTTGGACACATAGACTAGGTTGAGATGGATGAGCTTTATTGCAGTGGCCCTGTGCTAGAGAAGAGATTGTTTTGTTCCCACTAGGGAGTAGCTGGGAAGTTCATGGAGTTTCAGTTCCAACTTCCAACCTTGCTAGAGTCAAGACCTTAATCCTAGACCACTGTGGCCAGTAAAATCCATGTGTACCCAGGGCAGCAGCTGTCCCCTGCCACCACCAACACTCCCACCAAGGCAGTCCCCCTACCATGTCACTTTATTTACCTCATGGTTTTGGGTGACTGTGAATTCTTTCTTTTGCAGTCAGCTCAGCCTTTAAAAAGAGGTCAGTTATATTTTAGTCACCATTTTGAATTGGTATAGTGGGAGGGTTTTCTAATTTTCTGTTCTACAACAGTGCTTGTCAAGTAAGTCTTGGAAACGCTATACTCCTTGGAGAGTCACATCATCAGCCTGGTAAAGGAATAAGAAACTGTTTCTCTATCACTCCCTCATACAAAAGGAAAACCGAAACCCAGAATCTATCCAGATGGCTCAGCAAAGAACCTCCCATTGAGATAAATGTTGGTCCTATCTTTCCACGTGTGCAGCTTACACGTGTGCATGTCTTGGAGGGGTGCCAAATCCATCTCTGCCTCCGCAACCCCTCATCATGCTTCCTGGTCCCATGTACCACTTAAACTCTCATCTAGATCGGGTTCCTTTTGCATAAGCCCATATAGCATCCCTTAACTTCTCCCTTTGTAATTCTTATCCCACGTATTCATGTCCATTTTCCCAAATAAAATATAAACTCTCCCAAACACCCCACTCATCATTTGAAAAGTCTGGTATCTTGAGGATCAAATATAGCAAAGTCCAGAAGGAAGCCAAAAAGCATAGGGCCATGTGCATCGCTCCCTCTCTTGCCACCTGCACGTTCACGTGGCTGACATTTCTCGGTTGCTTACTCTTTGTGAGACAGGCAGGTGGCACAGGTAGATAGAATAAAGTCTCTGTGGCAAAGAGGCCAGCTCTCTAATCTCTCTCTTCTTAAGCACATGGCAAGATGACATATCTGAGCCTCCCTTTTGGTTAGGCTTGACCCCGTGACTTTGTGACTAGGTCCTTTTGTGGGAATGAGAAAAGAAGTAATGCGTGTGTGCCTCTTGGAAGCCTGACTTTGAAATCTCCCAGAAGAACTCTTCCATATGCTCTTCCCTTCAGACTGGTGGGATGAAAATGGCCATAGCTGCCTTCGAAGCCACCATGTTAGACAGCAAAGCCTCTCTTGACTTGGGTCCCAGAAAAACCTGCACAAAGCACAGCTACTGTTATTTGGGATGGCTAACCTGACCTAAGAGAAGCAGAAATAAAATTCTTGTTCTTAAAGCCTCTGAGATTTGGGAGTCTGTTAACACAGCCTAGACTAATAGCTATCAATCTTGAGAAATTCACATGTTCTAAGAAAGAATTCCTATTATTTTGGAATATGTTCCGGAGTTTTCAAGATTGGGGCAAAGCAGGGGATTGCATTTTGCAATTCAGGGTTTTTGACTTCAAAAGCTGCAAGTTTTGTTCCCACCAAGGATGCATGACTAAGTTCACCTATGGTGAGACACTGCATAATGGATAGTCTTCTCTATATAGACAAATGAGCCTACTGAGACATTCTGTCTGAGGGAATGACTGGGTGGTATGAAAGTTCAGTCATTTTCTTCTTAACTACACTTCCCTCTACCATCTTTCAAAAGTGGAAAATCCAATATCCATGGTTCATTCCCATAGGGGGTTTAAGAGAGTCACCTCCTCTCCTTTGTGCCTTTCCAATGCTATGGTGATAGGATTAGGTGTAGACCAGTCCTCTGAATGCCTTAGGAGACCAGGTCAGTCCCAGTGTCTTGAAGTATTAGCAGCATTCTTAACCATCTGTACCAGCCCTGACCACCTCCAGACCTCAGGGCTGAGGGAAACCTAAGAAGTGAGTGACATTGAGTTTCTATAGGTAACACAATGGCTATAACAAAGAGGACGTCTTGGATCTTTGCACTTGTTCTTGGTTTGAAGCACTTTCCGGAGCAACTAAAAGGCACCTGGTTTGCATTTCATCAAGTCAAAGAGAAGGATGGAAGGAAGGGAGGGAGGGAGGAAAAGAAAGAGGGGAGCAAACAGACTGGACAGAGGATGGGCACATGAAAATTATTTTTTTTAACAAAGCAGTATTTTTCACTGCCTAGGCAAATGACTTTTGTGAAAATACTTCTATGAAAAGCAATATACTGTTTTGATTTTACTCAGCACTATCATTAGGCTTGGATGCAAACAGAAGTTTACAATAAAATAAAAACATATATGATCAAAGACTGTATATAATTTTGTGATGAGGTGATTTGTAATTCAAGCAGTGTACTGCTTGAGACTCGTATTTTGATTCCCCATTCCAGATGGTGCAGATGCTCTCTGAAGAAGCAAAGAACACATGGATGAAGAGAAAAATAATTAAATATCACTGAGCTAAATAATTAAGACTATTACAAACAATATAAATAACAAATTTATAATGTATTACAATACAAATAAACAGCATTTTTAGTGTAAAAACTGCATTTGCACAAAGAAGCTATTTAGTAACAAATACAATGAAACTACATCAGAAACATGTGAAAATGATATGAGTCACACATACGCAGGGGCACAGTTCCCACGAAACTTGACCAAGAAGAAGCCATCTGAAGGCCATGTGCCGGTCTGAAACCACCAAAGGCCTTCTAACTAAATCTCCTGGTTCAGAAAAGCTGCTCAAAAGGTTGCCCCATCAAGGTTCATCATCATTTGGTTTTTCAAGAGGAACTGATCCAAAGAGGATCGAAACGTCAGACTAAGGTAAAGATACTGAACAAGAAGGAACTTTTCTGTTGGCACAAAAGATTCACATGAATACTTTTCAAAATGTTGTATTTGACAGGATGGGTCTGTTACGCACTTACAATACTGGCAGAAATAACACTTCAATACTGAGCTGGACAGAGATGAGTTGATAAACATTAGCGAAAGCACCAATCTTTCCCTTCTTTCTCTCCCTTCATGCCAATTTAACATTTTATACTGAAATCTTCGGTGGACCTTATTGTTCACATGTATTTGGGCTCTTTAATGTTCGCCATCCTGGAAAGAGCGTACAGGCTCCACTCTTAAAGACTTGGTCATAAAAAAACATAAAGGCTAAGTGCTCGCCTTTGAAGACATTTTTTTCTCATCCTTTCCCAAAGGTCTTACAGGATGCCGGCTCTGCAGACTTAACATATCCTCAAATCACGCAGCAGTGCTGTAGTTATCAACAAGGATTTGGGCCATAAAGAGGTCAAAATTTGACTTTCTCCCCTGCTAAAAGCCAACCTGGCTAAAGCTTGTTTACTTTTTATTACAGTCGTTAGTTTGGATTTCTTTTTTTAGTTAGAGAGGCCTGTGCTAACAGGGCCCTTACACACCAGATAAGGTGTAAGTATGCACCCGTGAGGTGAGGTTCGGGGAATGAGTGAATGAGTACTGCCTGTTACCCCATTCAGTGCTTAGACTTCAAAGAAAGAAACTAATAAAAGGTAGCTAGAAGTTTCAGATTTTCCCTCTCATCAGAGAAAAGAACCCTGCTCCAACTACTCACGCAAAACGCACTGCTCCCCAGTACAGTCTACGGTCACTTTTATTTAATTTTCCTAATTTTGATTTATATAAAATACTCTTCTATAATTAGAAAACTGATATTGCAACATAGGGAAGCATGATTATTTTTTATTTTTTTAACCAAAATCATGTTTCCACACATTTGACTTCTGGATTAAATAGATTATCTCCAGAAAAAAATCCATAAAAGCCTATTGAAATGTTAATCTAATTTCAAATTATTTTAGGTTGACTTTTTTCCCTTTAGTTTTTTATTCAGTAAATACTGGAAACAAACCTACAGGCCTCAAGTGAAAAGAAATTAAATTCGATGTGTACTTTTCCAGCCATTTAGTAAAAACCCCACTTTTTGCCAGGATATTAAAAAAAAAAAATGGTTCCTATAGCCACAGAAGCTTCAACTTTTAGTGGATCTTCTTCTCTAAGCTGTTTTCTCCTCTTCCTCCGATTTATTTTTTAAGTATTGTTGAGAAAGAACATACATTTCTCTTGTTATATAATTAGGTATTATTTGGGGTCCAGTAGAAAATTGGCCTTATGTTCATAAAAAGCAAAAATAGATTTTATTTCTTCATTCCTTCCCTTTTGGTCAAATACTCCACTTTAAAAAAATTTTTTTTTAAATATGAGGAGTGGGAAAGGGGGGAGGTATTATGCAGAAAAGCCAAACTACGAAAACTTTCTTATCCCATACCTCTGAACTTGAACTTAATGATCTTTGAAAACTTTGTTTCAGCTGATTATAAGAGAAAGAAATCCAGTGACAGAAGCACAGGCTCCACTCAGCAATGAACCAGAAAAGCTTTCCATGATCAGGGAGATGGAGCTGCCACCATCAGAACCATGGTGCTTGGGCTGAGGATGTGTTAAGAGACGTACATGGCAGGAGGGGCAGGAAATGAGCCAAAGTCAAGGTTTTCCCAGTCTGTCAGTTCTGTGATGGCCTCAAACTCAAGGTGCTGTTGCTGCGAAGAGAAAAACTATTGGCGACTCCTCATGAACCTCATAGTACTGGGGGATGAGACTGTCAGGTAACGGAGTTAGAAAGATGAAAAATAACCATCTCTAAAAATTGGACTCTGTCAGAATAAAAACTCCCTTTGTGTGAGGCTTGCAACAGGCCCATTCAGCCACTCGAGGGTGGAGGGTCTCAGCACCTCCCCCTCCTCTAGGGAGCCTGTGTTCAAAGTTAATACAAGGTAAGGGTTATCAAAACAGCCAGACAGGAGTATATTGCATATTTCTTTATAAAGATGACAGAAACTTTTTGAATTTCATAAACCTGTATTACTTGTTTTTCTGTCTGGACCCAAGGGGTGTAGGATCAACTTTAGACATCTTTCATAAGCTTGGAATCTAATTTTATGAATTTATTCTAAGACATAAATCAGGTAAGGCAGAAGTAGATGGATGGATTCTTTAAAAGAAATCGGGCCCCTTGGGTACTTTTAGTAGATTGAGTATTGAGAGATTTACAGGGATAAAATTCTTTACAAGATTAAGGAAGAAGGAAACGAAACCAAATCTTTCATTTCCAGATATTCACTTTCATTAATTCTTTCACCAAAAGCACATCACTGAAAGAAAACCAGAAATGGTTTTGCAGTTAATATTAAAGTGGTTCAAGAGCCAGGGAACCCCTTGAGATGGAAGCAAAACAACAAAGTATTCAAGTTCTCTTCACAAGACAACCTTGTCCTGGGCAACACTTAGGGCACTTCTGGCTTCAAAAAGAATATTGCTAAAGGAAACTTTTGGGGAAAAAAAAAATTACTACGTTTTGGCAAACAACAACAAAAATCTCTCCTGTAAAATCCCTGCTTCCCTTTTGAATCTCCAAAGGTTACAACATTTCATTCAAGACGCTTGGCAGTCACGGCTCCTTGGGCTTTGGTTCTGGATTATGTAAACCCTCAAGTCAGAATGAAGGCGGCTGATGGGAAGCGGCGGCTGCCGGAGGCCGCTGACTGAGGAAGTATTGTGAAGAGCGTGGGGCGCCTGCAGGCCCGTGGTGGGAAAGCTGCAAATGCTAAAGGTAAGAAGTAAATCCTAACAAAGGAGGTTCCGAGAGTTGGGATGGCGTCCAAGCTCTCTTCTATCATAAAATCCAGGGCCCTCGCGGTTTCTATCTCCGGAAAAGCATCTCCGTACCGTGGTGGCTGATGTCTCTTACAGTTTGACAAAAACGAATACTTAACACAGAAGACTTCTGCAAGAACTCCCATGCACTGTGAGGATGGTCGTGGTGCTTGGCTTTCGTGTTATGGCGCCTGCGGGGTGCTTTCCCTGGTCAGGACTCTCTAGCCTCAAGCCAGTGAAGGTGTGCCCATCCCAAGTCCCCGGGCAGATCCCCACACCCGGTTTGTTTCTCCGTTTCCTGATTGTCATGCCCGAAACGCTCTCATTAACCTACATGAGGCTCAATGCCAGAGACTACATGACTAGAGATCGCTTTTTTAAGAGAAGCTTGCTCATTCAGGAAAAAATAAGGATTTGATTTACACTGCAGACCCGAGGGAAGCGGACCTTCTCCTTCGGTCTGAATGCTCGGAAATACTGTCATTAGACCTATGGTCCCTTAGCGGCGGGCTGGCTTTTGCGCTGCCTCACTGTGTCTTCCGCCGCCTCAGTGTGGGCGGCGCTGGGCAGCTCAGGCAAGTCTTCCTCAGGCTCAGCTTCGCCCTCCTCCTGGGCCTCCCTCAGGGGCCCCTGGTCCTGGGCGTCATTCCTCTCCTCGTCCACGGGGGCGACCGAGCCGTCCTCCTCCTCGTCCTCCTCTACTTCGTCCTCATCAGCAAGGTCTTCTTTTTCTTCTTCGTCATCTACAAGGCTGTCCTTGTTTTCTTCTTCATTCGAATCATCTTTTTCCTCCTCTGCGTCCTGCGGCTGTTCGGCTTTGTGAGCCTCCTCTGACTTCCGGGTCTGCTCTGTGGAGGGAAGAGAAGGGAGCGTCCTCTCGATAAACTGATCACTCAGCAGGCCATCGAGTGTGTTTAGTCGTGAAATGAAGCCGGGGTTGGGGGGATGGGGGGGGCGAGTACGTGACCGTTTTCTCCACTCTGAAGCTGTGCTAGCCCACAGCACGGACCTCTGGCTGATGGTGTCCTACCTCCATCCGGGGCTTCCCTGATCGTGTCTGGAGATTTCCCTGACCCTGCTGACTTTGGTAGAGAACAGAGGGCAAGGGTTCCTTCATGCCTTATATTTGGTACCTTACAGAACACTCTGTGACCCACCCACTGGTCAGGTGATTGGTTGAGAAATGTGACTTAAGTCAAGCCAATCACAGGACTTCCCAGGAGCTTTCAGCCAGAGTCAAGGGGATAAGCCTTCTGTCTTCCCACAGGATTTGTTCAGCTGATAATATGCGAGTTAGGGTTGTTGACAGCCCCTGAATCAGCCACATAGAACCGGAAATCCAACATCCCTTGGGCTGTGCTTGAAGCCAGAACAACCCTGGATCTTGCAATTATGTGAGTTAATAAATTTTCCTAAGTTACTTTAAACTGGATTTCTGTGATTTTTAAGAATTCTAAACATAATATATTTTCTAATTATTTATGAAAGTCTCCAAGCCTTGACAACTTCAAGAACTCAAAAAACAGAAGCTTATTTAAACTCCCACATAAAATGCAACAATTATAAAGTCTCATAAAAGTCTTCACGCAAAGTCTCAAAACTAGGAATAAAAGCATGCAAATCCAAGGCCCTTGAGTCCCACAAATGGTGTGGGGTAGTGCAAGGATTTGGGAAGACTGTTCTTACAGGACTTAGGAGAGTTAATGGTACACAGTTGAGACTCAATAAATATGAATTTCCCTCCCTCATTCCAGTTTGAATGAAGGAAAAGGTATCAACTAACTGATGAAGGGCATACAGTTAAAGGGAAAAAACAATTGCCAAAATGAAGTATTCCCTAATTTAAGGAAGAAAAAAAAAAGAACTTTTGTTCAAATCTGATGTAGAGAATACATTTCAAAGAATTTGGTAGTGGTGATGGTTTGGACACCTACTGAATTACGGGGGAAGAATCTAGTATCTCTTTGAGCACAAAAGGGTACACCACAGAATTCCAAAAATACTCTATCACATGAGTTTGTCATACTTACCAGTGTGTTCAGATAAATGCTTTGGAAATGGTAGATAGAAACATTCTGATATTACCACCAGGACCTGGAGAGAAAAATGTGATTTTACAGTGACTAGATATTTATTACCAAAGAACCTCAAATGTAGGCCTTGGTTCTATAACCAGATATTCACAGACAATTAATTAGCAGTTGATCAAAAGTCTTCAAAAAAGACATGGATACAATTAAGAATCTCCTATTTTTCAAATGAAACAATGTAGGAAAATATTATGAATATATAACAGGAGTCAGGCGTCACAAAGTCAAATGTCTATAGAGAGCCCATTAAAAATAGGTATATGAAAATGGATACTCTGAGCCAAGCCTAAAATGGCCTTTTAAAAAAACACTCCTCTGGCCAAACAAAATTAGTCTGCATATGGCTGCCTCTCACCCATGGGTAACCATTGACTGAATAAAAGATGATGTCAGGGGCTAGAATTCTTAAGAGTACCATAAGAAATTTCTACAGAAATAAATTGTGAGAAAAGTCATTGATGGTATGAACTAAACCCTATTTTAGACAGTGATTGTCTTGGCTTCATCTTCAACCTTACTGTAGCATGACTCACTTTCTACTTGCTATAAGCATCCCTCTCCCTTTGTAAACTACAAGCTCCTTGGAGGCAGGTTCCGCCAAATCCCTGTTCCGTGCCGGGACTGGCATGGGTCACGGTGATGAGACTACAGATTGTGTCAAAAAGGGCACAGTTCTCTGACTGGAAATAAGCTGCAGTCATTCGTCACACCTTCCCCTACAGCACCCCACAACACAAACATCCACCCAGAGAGAAGCTACCTGTTTAGAAGGGCAATCCACTTCTTGTACCTAGCTAACTCCTGGACTGCGCCTTTACTTTGAATAATTGCAGGGCTTTAAAATAATACTACTACTTCATACATTAGTGTTTTAAAGGTGCTTTAAAATGTTAAAGAACCTAAAGAAGTCATAGTACTTTTGATTCAATTTCATAAACATCAAATGAGTACCCTACTTTGTGTTCAGAATTATTGCCATCTGTATGTTCATTTTTTACTCAAAATTTGGTTCATTAGGTTCCAGGTATCATGTCAACTTCTGCAGGGAGAAGATAAAAAAAAAAAAAAAAAAAAGGAAAAAATGGAGGTTTAATTATAAAGCAATATGGAACATGAATTCCATAAGAAAAAATGAATAAAGCACTTTGACAGATATTCACGAGATACAGATACGACAACCAGTTCTAGGTTTGGGAGGGATCAAGAATGGCCACTTGAAGGAGGCAGCTTTTAAGGCCATGGGCATGGCCCAGAGTGGATGGGTAGCACCAGCTGCCAGCTCTTCTAAGCTACACCAAATTGACCATCGGGGGGACCGCTCACCAAGCAGGGGTCCAAGCAAGTGACAACTCCTGCGAGATCTGGCTCCTTCCCCAGGGAGGAGCACGTGGGGCAGAGCCATAAGGCAAATGCTCCAGAGCAGTGGTCAAGCCTGGGGGTGGGGAGTGGGAGGGACACTCCTCCCTACAGGGAGGGTCGGTAGGGGCAAACACCCTAGGAGTCCAGGAGTCTGGCGCACACAAAAGGGATTGACTGCCTTTCCCTGAGGGTGCACTGAAGAGAAGGGGCAGTGATCTTTCAGCCTGGGGGCTGGAGATCAGGGAGCTGCCGATCAGGGAGCTGCCATTTGTTACTTTTTTTTTCATCCCCTAAAGTGGTGTGAACAGCCTTCAGGGAACAAAAGTCCCACAGAGCAAAGGGAAGGAGCTTCCACTGAGCCCTGCCAGGAGAGGTGCAATTCGGTGCACCAGGCCCCACCCCCAGAAGATTGGCAGGATCCTCAGCAAATACCAGGTTTACAGATGGCTCAGAACTGAAAACAAAACAAAACAAAACAAAACAAAACAAAAACAAAAACAAAACAAAACAAAAAAACTGCACTAGAGTAAGATAGTATACAGAATTAGAGGTTGGGACCTTTGTTTACAGGTGAAAAATAACATTTAGTAATATATTTTAGTTGTAACGAGGTTCAGTCAAGAAAACAAACAAAAATCCAAACTAGCAGCCTTGTTTTGATTTCTCATCTTTTTAAAATTAGGAAAAAGGAGGAAACAGAATAGTTAGGCTTATGTGGAACAGTAATTTGATCAGGAAATCACTCCTCTATGGAAAATACCATGCTCCTGCTGGCCACTGTGTAAGTTAAACTGTAGAAAGATTCATAGAGAGAAGAACTTCCAGAGACACCAGGACCAAGCTCCATACGATTACACACCTGGGCTCTGCTTTCAGCCCTCAGTTAATGGCAAAGGTGCCACAGAGCACAGAAGGCACAGCTGCAGACCTTCCTGAAGGCTAAAATTCTAGCTGTTGTGTACCTTTTAAAATATATATTACAGTTGTAGAAAAGGAGTCAGAGATATATGTTTGGTATTTTATGGAAATGGATTACCAGAAAATGTATGACTCTTACTACTTTGAAATCTTTATCCTTTTGTTAAAGAAAGCTCTCCTCCCAACTTCCTTTTCTATATCCTTTAATCACTCGTATAGTCTAGAATCAACTCTCTTCTTTCTTCAGGCCAAATCTTAACAACCTTCCTGGACTGATTATTTGAATCAAAGTTTCTGAATGAACTTAGGGCATAGGCCTGACCTGATTTCTTGAACTTAAAGTTAACCTCAAAGATAAAATTCAAAAACTCTTGATGCTGAGAAGACTTTCCAGTGGTCTTTCAATCGGCTAACACTCAACCTACGTTCTCTACAACTCCAACTGAGAACCACCCAGGATCTCATGGTGTTCCCCTTCAAAAGCCTCATATTCATGGGCTCTAAAATACACTGCTAGAAAAATCTAGCACCAGACAGTAGATGAAAGAAGCATATTTATATCCAGTCAGATTTATATCCAAAGTCAAATCCTTTTAGGCCAGACCATCAGGGTCACATTGGTTAGAAATAAGATTAATGTGACCTAATGAACGACATATATCTTGAATTCCAGTCCCACCTGTGGAGTTAACACCAGCAGTCAGATCTCAGATATAAGCCATAGCATGAAGTAAGCATGTTTGCAGTAAAATAAAATCAAGCCTCCTTGGCTTCTTGAAGTACAGCTTTGTTGTAACAAGTTATATATCAATATATAGCTATACACACACACACACACACACACACACACACACACACACATATATATATAAGCTATTGCTAACATTTTAAGCTTATTTTTAAGAAGGACTTACTAAAAAGCTGAAATGCATTATACAATGTAAGGATAGACTTTAAGATAATCTAACTTCAACGTCTGTCCTTTTATATAAATTCTTAGTAATCATCAATTATTCCTATCATACAGTATTTAGGGGCTTTGTGATTAATATATAGCATAATGGATTTTAAGAACTCCTTAATTAGAGTTTAAAACTTGATCAAATCAATCAAGTATGGATAAAAAGAAAGATTAAAAATTATGTAAAAGAGTAAAACATTGCCAAAACACTTACAGTTGCTTATGTACTTAAATAAACAAATTTATTATTTTAATTCTTACCCAAAACATCTATGGAGAAAATGCACAAATACCTACTAGGTACTAATTTTCATACTTAAAAAAGACGTGGTAATGTGCTTTGCATCTTATTTTCTTTCCCATAATAAGGACTGTGTTTGTTATGTACCTTATCTCACAAAATCCACCTTAGGATAACCAGACTGTATGTATAAGCAGCAGGTCAGGATTAAAGGTTCAGTTGGGGGATATGAGCAAGAAAAAATCACCTTGTTCTCTCAAGGAACAAATTCACAGATTTGGCCTCATCACCACAGTGTTCCAATCAAGGAAGCAATGTGTGAAATCACAGCTGACTTGGTTGCCTTGGAAACTGACTAGGCAGCACACATCTTCACAATATTTTAGGTTAGTATTAGGAGATAATAATTTAATGAACTTTCCATTATATCTCAAATTACCACTGGAAGTAGTATCAAAAAAGTAACTTTAGATTATACACAAAATGATACTTGTTTATGCACCTTTTCTTTCTTGGCTGCTTTCTAGTTTTGCATAAAACCCATGTGGTTTTAAAGAAAGAGAAAAAATGGCATTATCTCTTACCAGACCCAAAAAAAGGCCAAAAATCAAGGTGGCCAGGACGAAAAAGACATAAGAACACCAAGCAGGAATTCCAAGGGTCACTGTGAAATAGTTGTGAAGATGCTGTAATCAGAAGGAAAAAATATTTATTAATTACCAAACATGTTTGAATCTCCCTCTCTTGCTAGAACTGAAGTCTGCTAACTGTTTCTAAATGTATGAGTTCCCACAAAGTTCACCCCATTTGCATTTATGTAATTCTTCAAGGAAAAGTCAAATTTTACAACATTAAAAATTGGAGGGTACTACTAATCAAGGTCATATCTATTAAGAGTTATATTTCTTTGTTCATGATCTGGTAGAACTATGGCAGAATTGTTTTTCTAGACCCTTCTTTCATCATGACAGATTCTTTTTGGTCATTCTCCCCTAATAATTCCATATACCTCAATTTTTACTCATCATGTGGCATCCATAAAAAAATTAAATTTCTTTTTAAAGATTTTATTTATTTTTTAAATAAACTTAAAAAAAGATTCTAAAGATCTTCTTGTCAATTTTTTAAAAAAGATTTTATTTATTTATTTGACAGAGAGAGACACAGTGAGAAAGGGAACACAAGCAGAGGGAGTGGGAGAGGGAGAAACAGGCCTCCTGTCGAGCAGGGAGCTGGATGCAGAGCTCCATCCCAGATCATGATCTGAGCCGAAGGCAGCCGCTTAACGATTGAGCCACCCAGGTACCCCACCCTTTGTTAATTTTTATGTGGAACTAAATTACTACTTACAGAACATCAATCACTTAAAATGTCTCCATACTGGGGTGCCTGGATGACTCAGTTGGTTAAGCGTCTGACTCTTGATTTTGGCTTAGGTCACAATCTCAGGACTGTGAGATGGAGCCCTGTGCCAGGCTCTGTGATGGGCATGCAGCCTGCTTATGATTCTCTCTCCTTCTCCCTCTGCCCCCCTCCACCCCCACTCCTTCTCTCTTTAAATAAATAAATAATAAAACAAACAAAATGTCTCCATACTTCCTTTTCCTAATCAGATGATTTCTCTACCCTACCCATCCTCAATAACTTGCCTAAATCACCATAAAGCTGAAAATATACTAAACAGAATAAAGTCTTTCTAGTTCATTCATTAGGAATGAATGAGATTCCATCAGTCTTTGAGTACAGCCCACATCCCTTCATGCTTACTATTCCCGTCAAATACTTAAAAAATGAGTGAAGAGATACCATCTTTGCTGAAAATTATTTACATGCTAACTCATGCAGGTATGAACCTACTAGTCTGGCATGAAGGCCCACTTGAATTATGGACCTGCAGCAACCATGCTTCACCATGATGGCTTAGTGATCATCTGTGTTAGGCCCTTACAGCTCCAAAACCAGTCATTCACTATAATCCAAGCATTTACTGGGCCCATGATGAAATGGCTCCAAGCTAAGTGCCACCAGCAAGCAGAGATAATAGAACGACTTACCTAGAACTGATGAGGTGGATGAAAATGACTCCTAGTTTCTATTTTAATTTAATATTTCTCAAAACCCAAATTACTCAAGTATCTCCCATTGGTTTCTCAGTTTATAAATGTTAATTCAATTAAATAATGTATTTTATTCTGGCTTAATTCCAAATGATAAACCAACAAACAAAAAAGCTTGTTAATGGTCTAGAATAATCTGAGCTCTCTTCTCTCCAATTTCTTATTCAGTAAAAGACATAGATCTAAAGACTCAGCAAATACTTTATATATTCATATATGCCAAGTGTTCAATAAATATTTATTGAATTGAAAAAAGATACTAGCATATCCTTCAATTATTCATAAGAAATGCAAACAATTCGTGATTCGTAAAACTATCATCCATTCATCCATCTTCTGTTGATGGCATTGGTCATCATTTTATCTTTAGCCAGACAATTATTTATTAAGAGTAATCTAACATTCTGCAGCCCAGTAGGCAAAAAGGTCTTTGGGATATCGAAAGGCTGCTTCATTCAGATTCTGTTCAGTGTAAGTTCTAAAATGTAGCATGCATTTCTCCACTTTAGAAAATTCTATGTATACATAGTTTATACTTTTCTTGATGACTCAGTGCCACCATCAGGATTAAACTCAGAAATGTGCCAAAGAATTAAAAGATATAGAAAACCAGTCTGGCTTTGTGCTGACCCATAGAGGTGTGTATTCTGGAGCTTGATTTATAAATAATATCCATCCATATGGCTGGAATGAATAACGTCCCATTCTAAGTCCTGCATAGTGTCTCACACCCTTTCTGCAAAATAAATGATTAAAGTAACCCTTTAGAAATTTTCTAAGTTATTTTCTGGAATTCAGTAAGTTATATGACTTTGAATCATTGCATTCTGGGTCACACACTTCTTAGTGGATTCAAAATGTCCTCTTACTGTAGTGAGTTCCACTTCAATTATCTCACATCAACTTACTCTTTAAAGATCTATGTGAGCCTCTTAGAGAAACCCTGCCATCTTGTGGTCTTTTAGTTGATTAATACCAAAGCCTCATTAACCAAGTTGTGTTTTCACAACTGCAGACATAAATCTTTATCTGTTTACTTTGTCAGAGTTCACAGTGGTTTTAGAACACCTTTAAGAGTGTTGGGGTTTGCGGCATTAGGTACATGAAGTCTTGTTGTATATACGTTTTTGAGTAATAACGGATTCAAACTGATCTAACTCAGTTTTAGATTCCCGTGTTTTGTTTAACTGCCAGGCAAAGTGACAGTTTTCACTTGTAGAAAATACTGATCCTTATTCAAAATTATATGTGCTCATTATAGGGAAGTATCTTACTCTGCTTCCTTAAAATGCACAAAAATATCACCTAATGGGCCTGACAACTTACACAGTACCATTGTAATAGATAATGGAGTTAGAGGTAATTTTTGGCTACATACAGATTTGAGTGAGAGACTAAATGAAAACACCATTACAGTAGAATAAATGAGAAGAACATTCTACCTGGTGGTCAGTTGGATTTAAGGAATGGAGCAAGGCCAAAGCATCCATGGACAGAGGTAGAGCTTTCTCTCTCCAGGGAGCCCAGTATTCCCTCTGGGGACGGAACTACTGAAGGTCAGATTCAATGCTGTCCAGGGGCACTCACTCAGGGACCCCAGTGCTGCATAGTCTCATTCAGAGCTGGGCTGACCCTAAATGACAGAGAACTTTTTGGATTTAGATCCCACCAGTGTCACAGAATATACTCTGAGGAGTTTTGGGACAAATCCAATATCCCTTTCAAACACAGATCAGAATCCTCAAAATATCCTCCCTGTGTGGGAGCAGCTCAGAAAGACTTTCTCTAGTAATAGCCAAGGGTCCAGTTCACCTTCAATGTTTTACCCTTTCAACACTTGCAACAAGACACAACTTTGCAGCCTCCTGTGGGCATTAAGGGAGGTATTCTGTGGGTGTACAGCATCTCACTGTAATAGGGTTCTAGATCATTTTACAAGGAAAAAGCCTCAAAACAGTAAGAGGAGAGATGCCACTATCTAAAATACAACGTTTGGGGGAGCTTTAAAATATATTCTTGTTAAGTGTTGGTCTGGATGTGGAGAAAAAAGAACTATCGTGCACTGCTGGTATGAATGCACACTGGTGCAGCCACCTTGGAAAACACTATGGACGTTCCTCAAAAACTTAAAAATGGAATTACCGTGTGATCCAGTAATTTCACTATGGGGTATTTATCCAAAGAATATGAGAACAATAATTGGAAAAGATATATGAATCCTATGTTTATTGCAGCATTATTGACAATAGACAAATTATGGAAGAAACCTAGTGTTCATCAACAGAGGAATGGATAAAGAAGATATGGTATATATGCACAATGGAATATTAGCCATAAAAAAGGAGATCTTGCTATTTGCAACAAGGCGGATGGATCTAGAGTGTATAATGCTAAGTAAAATAAGTTAATCAAAGACAAATATATGATTTCACTCATGTAGAATTTAACAAAACAAACAGAAAAAGAGAGACAAACCAAAGAGCAGACTCTTAACTGTAGAGAATAATGGTTAACAGAGCAGAGTTGGGTGAGGGTATGGGTGAAATAAGTCATGGGGATTAAGAGTACACTTTTCATACTGAGCACTGAGTAAAGTATACAATTATTGAGTTACTATATTGTACACTTGAAACTAATATAGCACTGTTTGTTAATTACACTGGAATTGAAATTTTTAAAAAAGTATTCCACTTTGAAAGAAACACTGTTATTCTCCAGTCTAAATACTCATGTCCTTAAATCCTCATGATGAGGTATTTATAAAGTCTTAAATCTTCTCCACCACACAGACTATCCCCGCAAGGTTGCATCCTACCTTATGGTCTGTGTCCTTGAATAACAACAGTGGCACTGAGGTGAGGGAAGTTACATACTATATTATATTAGCTCAGTGAACAGCACAAATTCACCAAATCAAATAAAATAATACTGAAATGCATTCAGATGCTAAACCTAGTTAGCAAAATACACATTGTACAACCTGCCATTAATCCTGCTATCAGCCTGGATTTTAAAAAAGTAAATAAATAAAAAGAAAAAGCATTCCTTATTGACTAGTGAGAGGTAAAAAGTAAAATAATGATGACAATGATGATTAATGCATACAACTAACAGGAAACAGCTACCAAGTACTGACTAGGTGCCAGGTTCTATGCTAAGCACTCAACATGTTCTGGTGACAACAGTTTACAGCAGGTAAAACTCATGAGTTCAGAGATACACACAAAGGGTGGAGAATAATGAGTTGTCTCTCTGGAAGAGAGAAAGAGAATACCTCCCTACACCATTGTAGCCAACTGTGAAAGAAGATGAGAAGACAGAAAGGCTGGAAAGTCTCTCCAAACAGGGGCCACAGACAACATGTCAGCCCCAAGATTCCGAACCCTGACAGCGGCACCAGACTCAGGGACAGTGCTCGCCAAGTTCAATCTGTGCACCGCTTTCTTGGCATTCGCCTCACCTTGTACTATCCTTCAGATCATTAACATTTTTCATTAAGATGAGTAACTTCTTTTAAGCTGAATTTCAAAGAAATTTGATATTGCTACTATAAATATAAAATCAGTGCTGATTCCATATCTAGAAGATGTCTATCCACCTTTGAGAAACTCCTTAAGCTGTCTTCCAGCCACCAGTGACTCTTATGAGGTAGGCAAATGTCAAGACTATATATGAGGATGGGTGTTAGAGCTAAAGTGGCAGTGACTTCTACAAGTTTATATAAAAATTAAAACACATCAGTGAATACTATCACGACTGGATTGGAAAGACAATCTGAATTTTAGTGCTGGATAGAACATATGAGATTATCCACCCTTCCCCCACATTGTGGTACAAATTACCTACTAAGGATCACTTGGATTCCAGGTGACAGCAGGAAGCTTGCAGGATCTGGCTTATAACACAGTACTAGGAACTTCTTCACCTTAAGGGTTTAGTCAAGCAAGAACATATGGGAGGTTGGTGTAGAGTTAAGGAAGCCAAATGCAAAATACAACAAAACCCCTGAGTTCATGGGAACTCAGCTGTGTGGGTGTCTCCTCACCAAGCAATTCTGACATCCTGAGGACAAGCTCTTATTTCCAGAATGCCAGACCCAGCAAGCTAGCTTTACTCCTACAGCAGAAACTCAAGGACTTTAAGGACTAGTTCAGTAGGCTCATCTTATAGATATTACTCTTGTTTTTACTTTATCTTTTTCATTACAGAAAAAAAATTAATACAGACAAAGATAAGAGATTTAGCTATAGCCATAATTTCAGTATCAGAGATAGCTATTGTTGACATCTGATTAATCTCCTTCCAGGCACTTTCCCGTAGACACATGAAAACACCACACAAACATAGCATTACAAACACTGCTTTGTTACCTTTCCCCCCACTTAATAGCATGCAATTTTCCCTATAGAAGTATTATGCCTAACCAGCCACCCAACCAGGGGAGGCTGTTGCTGAAGAAACACTGACTTCTGTCTGTTTATGTATCCACAACATCACAGTAGGATAAGAGAGATTGTGGATGGGCATCAGTAACCTCGCCTCACTGGCATTAGCTACTCTGTGTCTTTCCCTCTTTCTTGTTTGGCTCTTTGGACCTTCTCTCTTGGAGACCTTACACTCATTTGGTTCTAGACATGTTCTTTCCCTCTCTCTCTTTCTCACCACATGCTATGTCTCTTTTGTTCACTGTTAATATAGTTGCACTGGAGTTTTATATTGTTTAGACATGAGTTACAAACAGATTATCTTCCCCACAATGATACATTCAACATTGATGGAAGGATCCTGGGCAAGGGAGAAGGGCTGGCTAAATACGCTGAGTGAGCTGGGTAGTCAGCTAGAAGGACTTTCTCGGTAAGTGGTTCTTTAGATGCAACGAGGCAAGACTGCACCTCGAAGTTGAAGTGGAAACCTGACAGACAACTGAGGATTGGTTCTCACCAGGCTTGAAATCACGTTCCCTGTGAGTAAGAGGACAAGGTCTAGATTATAGAAACAGGTTGTGAGAGCCCTTCCCAGAGATTTCATGGAAGCTTGGAAACTTGTTTCTAAGAAAAGAAGAAACTACAAAGTTGTCAAGAGGCTTGGAGAAGCTAGATGCTGATACAGAGGGTGATACCAAATTTCTCTCACAGAGTTTTAAGGTAATGAATACACACACATGGAGAGATCAAAATAATCTACTAAGCTACCATTTATGTTCCTTTAGTCATATTACTCCCTGCCACACACACACACACACACACACACAAACACACAAAACCTACAGTTAGGGCAAATACATTAGTAAGGCCAATAAATATAAATGGACTAAATTTATCATTTAAAAGAAATACTTCTTGCTATATGCATTTTACAAGACTCATTTATAACATAACAAGAATGAAAAGGTTGAAAGTGGGAAAACATTCCAGGCAAAAACTGACCAAAAGGAAAAAATATGGTATTAATACTAGATAAAAGTTACTCAATAGAATGTAAAACCTAATTGTTTTGTGTATCACATTTAACAATTTATCCTATAAAACTATCTTCTTTTGGGGGAGCCTGGGTGGCTCAGTTGGTTAAGCCTCTGCCTTCAGCTCAGGTCATGATCTCAGGGTCCTGGGATCGAGTTCCACATCAGGCTCTCTGCTCAGCAGGGAGCCTGCTTCCCCCTCTCTCTCTGCCTGCCTCTCTGCCTACTTGTGATCTCTCTGTGTCAAATAAATAAATAAAATCTTAAAAAAACAACAACAACAACTATCTTCTTTTGTTCCCTATTTAGTTATCTGGAAAGACATTCTAAGTATACATATGTACATAAACATCATATATACTCTACTTTTCAATCACTAAAAAGAACATCTTTATTGGGGTATCTGGGTGGCTCAGTTGGCTAAGCATCTGCCCTTTGCTCAGGTCATGATCCCAAGGTCCTGGGATCAAGGCCTGAGTCTTGTCCCTGTCCAGTGGGGAGTCTCCTTCTCTCTTCCCACTGTCTCTCCCCACTAACCCGTTCATGTTCTCTCTCTCTCACTCGCTCACTCTCAAACAAATAAATAAAATCTTAAAAAAAACAAAAGGAAGAACATCTTCATTGGTTATTCAGAGATGGTTCATATTCTATTCTCCAAATTGCCTTTTCTTTGCAGTCTGATGCATACACACAGAATCTGCACACTGCCCATGGCTGGAGCACTGTGTGTATAAAGATAAAACACCCACTCCTGGCCTTGACGCGACAGTGCCGCACATTGTAATTATTTGCATGATAAAATGAAAAACTGTAACTCCTTATCAAACTCTTGTTTATCAAGGCACAAAATGCCAAGTTATATGAGGTCAAAGCAATTATTTCTCTCCCCAGATACTATATTTGAAAATATACCTCTTTAACAATGCATGAAAGTTATGACCAACTTCCATCTAAGCTCTTCTTAAACCACTATACAAATTCATCTCTTGACATGCACTTATTATAGGTTCCATGCTAAGAACTTACTCTTAGGATTCCTGACATCCACCTAGAATGGTCATCCTGTTGAATTAGACATTATAAGGCTATAAGGTTCTCAGATGGCTATCAGAATAAATGACTCTGTCAACCTTTAGTGTCAACATACTGCAAAAGGCAAAATCCTTACTCTCAATTCCCAATTGGCAATTCATAATTCTCAAACCCTGAATAAACTTCTCATCAGTGTTAAGAAAACAGTAGAAGGAAATCATATGAAACTCATACTATCTGGAGAGAGGGGAAATCCCAGTTATTTTTTAATATCATACACAAATGCAAAAAAAAAAAAAACAGTTAACAATCTTTAACTAAGAAATACTGAATCCAAGTGACAAACCTAGCTTCTGTTAAAAAATACTGGAGTTAGTATTCTATCTTACAAGGAAGAAAATAAAATATAACTGAAAAACTGGGACCCAAAAGACCATTCTTAAATTTCCCTAAACATATAACAATGTGCATGAGAAACAGAAGAGTCTTCATGAACTCCTTGAATATTAAGTTCCAAACAGGGCATCATGACTTAGAATCATAGCCTTGAAAAGACAAATATAAGGACTCACTTCTAAAGACTTTTTGAAATGCTTTAAGGATATATATTTAATTCCACAGCAAGTTTGTTAAATTTGGCAGAATTTACCCCACCCTACACATAAAGGGAAGTAAAAGATTATGTAACACATTCTTAAGATTATATAATTGTTCAACATTTTTAACCTAAATAACAGTTCTAACTCACTGAAATGACTCAGTGAAATGATAAAATTGCTTATAGCAGGGGCATTTAAACTTCTTCTTAAAGGGCCAGAAAGTAAATATCTTAGGCTTGTGGGCCACGTGGTCTAAGTCAGAGCTAGTCAACGCTACCACTGTAGCATGAAGGCAGTTCTAGATCATAGATAATGAATGAACATGGCTGTGTTCCAATAAAACTTTACTTATAAAAACAGGTAGCCAGCCCCCAAGCTATAGTTTGCAGATCCCTGATGCACAGAATCACTTTCAGGCTTAGATAATCTTTGACCTATAGGGAGATTCTAACAATGGGAAAATAAGATGAAGTTAAACCACATAAGCCCTTTCAGCTTTAATAAAGGGACTCACCACTGATCTAAGAAAATATGACTGATACAGTAGTTATGGGTCTTTGTTCCAATTTATGCCCTTCTACACAGGGACACAATTCTACTGGAGACCCCACATGAGAGCAGTTGTGTGGCTTAAGAAGAAAAGTGACATTATACAAGTATTTGTAAATGTTTACTTTCCTATTGTTTAGAAGCTACATTTTTACTCTTTAAAAACCTGTCTGCGAAGATAGTCACAAAAAATATATTTAAGATTACTCACCCATATCTTGCCAGAGATACTAAAAAGACCAGCCATTCCAGACATCCTAAAAGAAAAATGAATAAATGAAGAGAAGGAGAACCACTGGTGATGTATACTATGAAAAAACAAGGGGCGCCCGGGTGGCTCAGTTGGTTAAGTGCCTGACTCTTGATCTCAGCTCAGGTCTCGATCTCACAGCTATGAGCTCAAGCTCTGTGTTGGGCTCCATGCTGGGCGTGAAAACTATTTTAAAAACAAAGAAACAAACAAAAAATAAAATAAAACAAAACAAAACAAAAAACCCCCAAAACCAAAAAACCTCAGGTCACAGGGATCTGCCCCTTCACTTTTTGCAATGTTTTCTTCTCTCCTGGATTCACTGTCATTCACATAAAGGGTCTTCTCCAACCTCTCCTCCTAAGAGCCATAGTCTTCATTTCAATTCCTCTGTTATAAATATTCAACCCCCTGGCCCTTTCTCCCTCCATTGTGCATACCTGACAAAAAAACCCAACCTTGGGTAGCTGCAGGTCTCTGGGGAAAACCACATGACCAGCTGATTGCTCTCCCTTCCCAGTCACAAACCTCAGGGAGCACTCAATACTGTATTGTTTTAGGTTCTACCTGAGATGATAGCTCACGTCTTTTCCCTCTCTTCAGACCTTCCACACCCTCCCCCTTTCCCATGCCTGCTCAGCTAACAAATACTCCTTGTACAACACTGCAAAAGCAGAAGCCACCATGTGATCTCTCTTATCTTCCCACTACCAAATCTGAGCCTGGTGTACACCTGATCTGCCTCCTCCTGTTACGACAGAGAAAGGAGATCTGCCCTAACCACAGCCTAATTCCTCCACTTGTGCCATGGATCCCATCCCTTTGGTCTTGTTAATGACTTGGCTCTTTCTGCCATCCCTCTTCCTGCGTTAGCAATTTCTCCCTTTCTGCGGGATCATTTTCTTCTGCACAAAAACATGTTCTACCCTCTCTTTCTTTTAAAAAGTGCATTCTTGGACCTCACATGGCTCTCCAGCTTCACAAACTTCTCCAAAGAGTAGTCTGTGCTTACTGTTTCTTCTTCCTCACTGTACCTTTAACAGGTACAGTGCAACAGCCTTCTGATTGTCTCACCTCATCCATTGGTGCCTTCTCCAACCTCTCCTAAGAGCCATCTTCTAATTGTATGCACTGATATATCCAAGTTCCAAATCAAGGCTGCAGACCTGTATGATCCTGCTCCTGCCTGCCTCTCATTCTTAGTGTATTCCACTCCCCTTCCCCTTCTCTGTGCTCAATGTTACCCATCTTTCTGCTCTTCAGTACCATGAGCTCTTTCCCAATGGGGGCCTATATAGCGTGTGCTATCCCCATTGTTGGAAATACTCCTCCCCACCCTCTTTACCCAGCTAGGTCATTCTCTCCTTCAGTTCTCTCTGCTGTTCCAACTCTCATCCGATAGAGGCCCATGCCTCCTGCCTTACTAAAGATTTGTCTGTTTTTAACAGTAGTTACCCAGATTAAGATTCTTTATATCCCTAGTTTTTTTTTTCCTTAATCTGTATTAATTTAAGTTACCTAAAGAGAGCAGGGGGACCAACTCTGTCTTGCTTATTGTTGAATATCTAGTACCCAGAGCAGCATTTGGTATAAAACCAGTGCTCAAATATTTGTAAAATGAAACACCGGAGGTGAGGTGCTTTATTTTTTTAAAGATTTTATTTATTTATCTGAAAGATAAAAAGAGCACAAGTAGGGTGAGGGGCAGAGGGAGAAGCAGACTCCCCACCCAGCAGGGAGCCTGATACGGATTTTGATCCCAGGACCCCAGGATCATGACCTAAGCCAAGGCAGATGCTTAACCAACTGAGCTACCCAGGCACCCTAGTGAGCTGCTTTTAGAGTAAGCTCTAGATTTCCTGGCTATTACACAAATGCTACTGGATGATTTATTCCTTAAATATTGCATACGTTGATTCTATTTCAACAGGGATATTCCCTATTCTTACATATACTAATATAAACAACTACAATTATGACAATTCATTCTAAATTAAAACCAACTGTTAAAAAAGTTTGCATGGTTTGGCCTTATCTACTTCACCAATAATTACACAGTTTGACATCACGGACAGAAGTTACCTCCATCTGTGTTCCACCAGGCAGCTAAAGACACCATAGGTTTTATTTCCCACATAAATACAATAGCAATTCCTTCATAAACTATAATTCAAGAAAGAGTTAACTCTTCTATCTTATCAATAATTTAAACAGAAGAAAGAATGGCAAATGTTATTCAATATCATATTTTATAAAGAGAAAATAGTTAATATGGCTTAGTACAAAAGTTGGAGGAAAGGCTTTTGTAACCTACCTGAATTTGGATACTTAATTCCCAGTGTGCTAACAACTAGCTGAAACATGTGGGTCATAAAACCAGAAACACAACATTAGCCAAACATGGTCATGTATAGTCTGGGTAATCAGAACTGAATATGAAGAAAAATATAGACTTGCAAGGCCTATGGGCTGTTTAAGTTAATATCTCCCATTTTATAAATAATACTTTGTCATAAGAAAGATAAGTTACGTCAGAGAAGCTGGGGATTTCCAGCCAGTCAGAGGCTCCACTGATTGCCATTTCTTCTCTAAGATATAATTTTGCAGGTCTTCATAGACTCCTGGGCCACGGTAACGGCGGAATATCCCATCCTTTGCACTATAAATTAGAAAAACAAACAGAGAATAAATCCATTAAAATAACAAGTGTTACAGATAATAAAAATTAAAACAAATACTAGTTTTACATGTGAACTTCACTTTGAATTTTCACTTGACTCGAAGAAAAAAATTATATTTAGGCATAAATATTAATCTATTACAGATTAGAAATTTCAAAACAGCAGGCATTACGCATTTTATTTTTATCACTGCACAATTTAGGACCATAAGCAAAGTTCTTGGCAGTGTCTAATCTACCAAGTTACTTTTTATTATTTTTGCTATCAATTATTTCAATTTTTCTCTTACAATGGCAAAAGAGCAATTGTTATCAAGCTTTAAAAACTTGTATCCAGCTTTCCAAATTTATGTTATTCAAGCTCCCCACTGCCCCACCTCAATTAACAAAACACCTTGTATTCTCACAGGTCCCCCAGTTTTTCTCTGACTTTCTCACCACAGTCCAGCTTCCTGAGGGAAGGTCTGCACTGGCCATTTTCTCCCCATGTATTATTCATTCAGTATTCTTGTGATCGGCGGTTCTGCTTCCACAACTCCATAGAAACTGCTAGTACTGGGGGTCTCCAATGGCTCTTCAATGCCATATCCATAAAGCACTTTTCTTTGTCTGTCATCAGCACTGTCCACTACTAAACATCTCTTCGTTTCTCCTTTCCATTGGCTTTTATGACATGAGCTCCCTTGGCTTCTTATTACTCCTAGCACCCCTGCTCAGTTACTCACTACCCTGTCTTCCTTTGCAGATGTCCTAATGTTGGTCAACCCCAGGTTCTATCCTTGACCTATTTCTAGTCCTATTGTGCATGTTCTCCCTAGATGCATTGCAGTGTTTGTCTACCTCAATGCTGAGGAATCCCCAATACATCTCTCCAGTCGAGATCTTTCTTCTGTACTTGAGATCCTGAAATCAAACTATTACTTAAACTTCTCCATTTGGAATTAACAGCCACTTCACACTGTCTTCTCCATCCTGGCCTCTATCTTCCAAACTTCATCTTATTCTAATGGCTCCTCAATAGCTTTTATGAGTTCTACATGGCCCATTGGTGTTCATCATAGGCTCTTCCTTCCTTATCGCTAAGTAGTCACCATGTCCCAGGGATCCCACCTCCTAAGTATCTTCCCTTTTCTCTTCCCCCATCACTACCTGAGCCTCACTAGCCTTATCACCCAAGATGATCCAACTGCATCCTACGGGCCAAAACCAGTTACAGTCCTCAGAAGGTATCTCATTTTCTCCCAGCTTTCTCCATGATAACTCCTATATCTGGAAAGGGCTTCTCCACTCTGTCTGCTTAACCCAATTCCTACCTTTCGTATTACCAGAGAAATCTTTTTTGATACCCCCCACCCCCTCCTACTCACTGTCTGACATTAGGTATATTTTCCCTGCTGTACTCTGGGCACACCTCTCCTCTACCAGCTATCATTCACTGCACACCAGTGCACACTGCACACTCTCTTCAAATGTTCAACTGAATAAGCAATGGTTATGGAAAACAACTTAGAATTCCTGATACTGTTTTTGAATTTCTTCTAATGTTCTTAAGTTTCTAATCAGAAAATTATTTAAACTTACTGAAAAAATGCTGGGAGAGTAGTGACAAAGAAGCGGCCACTCAAACCTACAAGAGGCATAAATTAAAAAAGTTACAAGCCAAATTCAGACTACCCCAAGTACCTGATTTACATTGTAAGAACAAGCAGCCTTGAGCTTATTTTCATGGCCACATTATTAAAATTGTTCCATTTATTTAATCATATTTACCTCTTTTCTTTTTACTTAAAGAAATTGTATTTTTATCCATTTTTATTTACTTACCACTTTCTGGTTACTGACATATAATTTGCTTATTTTTTATGTATTGCACTAAAGTTTTCTGGCTTGTGCATTGCTTAGAATAGTATGGCGGCTGAAAGGACAGGTTGTAGAGTCATGCAATCTGGATTAAATACTAAATTCTCCAGTTACTAGCTTTGTGACCATAAATACATTACTTAAGCTTTCTGTAAAATGGGTATATGAAAGCCTGCCTGAATCATTCTCAAGTGAGATTAGATCAGTTATAGGTTTAAAAAGAATGAAGAATATGAAATAATACGATCATGTATAATCTTTTCACACTTATAAAATTTGTAATTTCTGTCAAGGAAGTCTATGTATATTAAACAGATTTTTTTCAATTTGTCTCAGCAAACCTTTACTGAACAATAACCACATATCAAGGGCTATGCTAGGTACATGTGAAGATAAGGATAAATAAAACACTTAGTCATTCATCAAATATTTACTAAGCAACTTCTTTGTTCCAGGGACTGTGACAATGGCTCAAGACATACAAAGCAAAAATGAAAACGTGCAATCTTTATTTTTACAGAAGTTATAATCTAGTGGCAGAGGGGGGGAATTTAATCAAATGATCATGACCAGAAACAGAGATGGATGGTATGAGGGAAAGGGGCATGCAACAAAAACCTGCATGACACCAGGAATAAAGAATAGATCTCTGCTCTTTACTATTAACTAAATAATATTTATGTGGGCACCAAGAGTGAGTCAGTCTAGTTCGGCAAAAAGAAGGAAAGCTAAAGGATCCTCCTGGCCCACATGAAAACATGCAGAGATAACATTTTCACATTTCTCATCATTTCTGCCTTTCCCACTTAAGAACAACCTAGACAAAATCAATCCCTAGTTAAATAAAGTGGCTCAAATTTTACATCTCTGTGATGACTTGCTGTTTGCAATACTGAAGGTCTATTTAATTTAATAACAAGGGATGTTTGCTTATACTCATTTTATAAAGTAAATCTATACTCAGCAAAATAATTTATTGATTGATGATGACGAGTCTTCCCAAAGACGCATTCTCTACTTTTTCTCATATCCAAGCAATTAACTTTAAAACACCTGTATGGCACCTAAAAGCAAACACAGTATTCTGAAGGCAGTAATAGTCAATGCTACAAAAAGAAACATAAACTTCACACATTTATGATTGTACATCTTTTTAAAGGTTGTACTGGCAGGAACAGAAACAAAAGTGACCCGAGAAGTCAGCTGAGGATTGGAATAAGAATCTCTGTCTACAGGTAATTCTCACCTCTAACAGGCTTGGAATTCCGCTCTACCAAGGAACAAAGGCATCTTTTGGTATAGTTCCAAATCTAAATTGCCAAGAGGAGTACTGGTAATCTTAAAGGCTTGAAAATTATTATATGTTTTGCTAATTACAAACAGTTTCATATCCCACTTTTTCCCTAGCTATGGATTTTTATGACCGCCCTAAATCTTAAATAAGGACACTCACAGTGTTAGGGAATTATGCTTTATTTACAATGGACTTCTAAAATGGAATGCACAGGGGTGCCTGGGTGGTGAAGTCAGTTAAGCATCTGACTCTTGGTTTTGGTTCAGGTTGTGATCTCAGAGTTGTGAGACTGAGCCCCACATCAGGCTATGCACTCAGTGTGGAGTCTGCTGGAGTTTCTCCCTCTCCTTCTGCCCCTCTCCCTGCTCGAGCTCTATAAATAAATAAATAAATAAAGTCTTTAAAAAATTAAAAATCCTTCATATGTTCTTGGTCAGTAAATTTAAACTATCAGTTTTCTCATTAATGGGCTTCATAATTTCTATCTCACTATTTTTTAGTATTAAATGATTTTATATTTATAAAGCACATAGGACACAGTATTTGACATAGAATAAGTACTAAATACACCCTAGTGAATATGTTCTTTAAGGCTCTGGCTCAAAGTTGGAATAAAGTAGGATGCAATAAAGTAATTTAGTATCAAGTGCTTTGGAAATCATACATTATTCTGGAGAACATACTTTTACAAATAAATGTGCCCATGAAAAGATAAATACAGAGGAAATAAGAAAGAAAACACAGTGATATATATATATATATATATATATATATATATATAGTCTCTGAGATTCTACTTTTCTGGTTCAGACTAAAAGGATGCTCATTGCCAAAACTATTAGAATAAAGGGTATGAGAACTTTATGGCTCTTGATATGAATTCCCGTGTTTTTCCATGACTATTGTACTAATTTATAAGACCATCAATTAAGGTTCATTTAAAATAAAGATTATTAATAAATTATAATTCTCAAAACTTATTTATGTTTATTTCTTCTAATGAAAACCCATGCAGAATACTAATAATAAGATCGCAGCATCTAATGCAGATATGAGTTCAATTTGAATGATACTGGAATAATACACTGTCACTAAGGATGTCTTCAGGATAATCAACAACAAAACCAAGAATATCCAAAGTAGACCTTAGACTATGACACACTACTAAGTCCTCTGAAGATCTGACACCCTAGGAAATTCACCTCAAATAAATGTCATTTCTGAGAGGCTAACAAAGGTTAGAAAGCTTTGGGTTTCATGTCACTGCTCCAAAAATGTGTTCTAACCTTTAATACTGATGCTGCTATCAAGGGAGCCTCTCATTACCTGAAAAGTTAAAACATTACCAACTTGGAACAAAGAAGCACCATCTGAGGTTGTGGGCTTTAAGGTCAAGGTCTAAAAAAAGGTAAGCATGGATCTCCGCAAAGGATTACAACAGAGGGCAGCAGCTCATGTCAAGGTTGGCATAATGATTCACTGCAAGAAACCTCACCAAGTGTAGAAGAAACAAGTACATACATAAACTTTAACTAAAGAGATGAAGTTTGACCACAAGGTCTCCCAACATTTCTGCATATCTTTTTTACTTTAAGGGAAACTTCTACTTTAAAATGAGGACTGCAACATAAAAAGGGCATTAATCCAAAGTGCAGGGCAAAATTTAATTAAATTTAAATTTAAATTAAATTTAATCAAGCTTATCTTAAACATGTAAAGCAAAAGAAAGAAAAGAATTAAAAGATAAGAGAAAGAAAAATGTACTAGGGAACTATATTTTGATATGCAAAAACACAAGGAAATGATTTAAATTCAATACTTTAAAAATGGGGATAGCTGCTAGCTTTTGTTCTACCGTTATTAGCTGTGTTACTTTGGGCGTGTTACTTAACCCCTCTGAGCCTCAGTTTTCTGAGTAATATAAACAGTTCTTCCTAGTGTTGTTATGAAACTAAAATGTATGTAAGTCCCTAACACAACTACAGGCTGAAGTAAATGCTTAATTAATTATTAGTTATTATCACCAAAAGAGTAGCAGAAGGAAAGCAATGAAAAAAGTAGAACTAGCCTTACCTTTTGAGACTGAAATAAAGTTGTCAGTATTATACAAAAGGCTAATTTTTACAATTATAAAATTAAAATATGAACACTAACTGAACCACAGTAAACTAAGTTGGATTTTGCAACTAATCAGTGGTTTAAACACAATGCTTATTCCTGGCTATTGTAGGAATCTGGTTTACCTCTGGTCCAGTGAACTAGCCATCACCCATGTGTGCTCTATGAGCAGCTGCTGTTTTCCTGTCCTTGACAGCTAAGCTCATCTGCATGGAACAGAAGCTTCAAATACATGCTCATTACATTTAATTTCTCAAAAAACACACAACTGATATATCACCTGGTCGATGCAATAAGCAGGCAACACCATGTAATCTAACCTAAGGACTTCTCTTTCCTTGACATCTACATCTCAGCTGTAAAATACAAAGTGTAATCCCTAATCTTTATCATTCTGAAAATTTATTTTTTGTTCAAAATACCTAAAAAAAAATCTCTTGTGAGATATGCCAATGGAAGAGTTACAAGTATAAAGACTACATAGAAACACTTCAAAAACTCTTGCTTTCACTTCTTTTTAAAGTTTACTTGCCAGGAAAAGACATGAAATTATGCCTTACTAGCACTCACGGCAAGGCAGTCCTAATGAAAGAATATACTAATGGAGATCCGTAACTAAATAGAAATCTGTATAAAGAAATACCCAGGAAAGTGTTCGATTTGAGGAAAAGTAGTATCATTTCAGTTATTCCCCACTGCTCATTCAGGATGCTAGATTTTGTAAAAGTGAAGTAAATACCCAAAGAGCTTTCAAGAATAGGGACAAGCTGCCCCAAAGACTTGCCAGTGAGTTAATACATGTAAGACACCCTCTCTTCATTTGGCTTCCAGGACCCAGACCCCTCCACCTCCTTCCTACCTCACCAGCGTCTCCTCTTCTTCTGCTGGAACTACATCTCTCCTTCAAAATGTTGGAGTGCCCTGGTTTTCAATCCTCAAAACAATCCTCAATTCCTTCCTCCCCTCCTTTCGAATACCATCTACAAGGATGATCTTCAAATGTACATCACTAGCTCTGGGGTTAAGTAACATGCCCAAAGTAACATAGCTAATAATGGTAGTACAAAAGCTAGCAGCTATCCCCACTCTTTAAGTATTAAACTTAAATCATTTCTATTGTGTTTTTGGATATCAAAATATAGTTCCCTGGTACATTTTTCTTTCTCTTATCTTTCAATTCTTTTCTTTTCTGGACTTTGTTTCTTCACTATTCCTAAAAAATACTGGACCAAAGACTTTTTTCCTCCTTCTTTAATAAAAGTTTCAAAAATATATAGTTTACATTTGCATAAATAGCATGAGTCAATGATAAATTTGTTTTTAAAATATTTCATTATAATAAATTCCTCTCTACATTATCAAAAAAAGCACTCAATCCATTAACAATGGAAAAATAGTCGTAAATCTACATTTTAGATGGAAAGACTGTATTCAGTTAGCCTTTAGATCTATGAATCCATCACAAAGCTAATTGTTTAATTCTTTTCATTCAAATCATGCTGTGAGTTCTCTGCAGGTATACCAAATGACTGAAATGTGAATAGGCCAGCTGCATTTCTAAGAAACTCATCATAAAATGTGCTTGGTGCTTACTAATTAGCAAGGCTTACACCTGATTTTGTTGGACTCAACCACTAAAAGACAAAAACAACTTTATAGCAAAAATATAATTGCAATGACTTGACATCCAAATAGAATAACTCATTCTAACAGCTCAAACCACGAACTAACAAGTATAATTGTCTATCTCTCAACAGCAGATGGGCAGAAGTGGCTTTGATTCAAATGATTAGAAAGGCAGAGGCTTGAGGACTAATGGCTTTAACAGAAATCTCTCTCCAAGGGTTTGTCAACACATCCAATTTAACAGACGCCATCCATTTTATTGTCCAAGTAATTGGTAATGCATTACGTTGTGTGTTTTTGCACTCACGGTTATTACAGAAAAGTAATAGCTACACCTCCATGCCTTCTTTTTCCCTTGTATAGGGATACATGAGATAGAAATTAAATGTAGACAGGAAAAAAATAACTAATAAAGTTTCAAAAAATCCAAGCTGAAATTTAAATAATAAAAGCCCACTTTTCTTCTCATTTTGTATGTAATACACAGTTATTTTTGCAAAGATTTTATTTATTTGTCAGAGAGAGAAAGAGAGCATACACAAGCAGGGAGAGCGGCAAGCAGACGGAGAAGCAGGCTCCCTACTGAGCAAAGAGTCTGATACAGCACTCGATCCCAGGACCCTGGGATCATGACCTGAGCGGAAGGCAGACACTTAACTGACCACCCAGGCGTCCCTACACAGTTATTTTTAAATTACAAATACAAATTGCATCTTTTCTGAATTTAAAAATTTCCTTTATTTCCCTCTTCCTTTTGCAAAATTGTATCATTAAGAGCTAATAAATGGAGATGGAACAACAGAATTCGAAATTCACCATTCCGGAATCCATTATGAAATATTTGATTCAGAAGATCATCATGGATTTAAATCTCCAAAGTATCACCCCAAAGGTTATTCCCTAATCATAAATAGGGTATTTCCTTTATAATAGAGAAGTTTATCCTCATCACCTTAACCAAGTGCTCAAACTCAACAGCATTAATGGTGATAATGTGTGTTCTGAGAGAATACAATTCAAGCCACAGGATCACCTATAAAGTACTCTTGCCATTAATATTTAACCCGAATCATGCTTTTGACCAAAATTCAAGCTTGAACAAAATAGAAGAATAAATTAAATGTTACCATAAAGAAACACCTAGGCAAATCCCTAGTCTGTTCTCTTCAGAGTGTCAATGTCATAATGCCATGAAAAAAAGGAGGGGGGCTATCTTCTAGATTGAGGGAAACTGGAAAGATGTAACTGGGGCACCTGGGTGGCTCAGTCTTTAAGTGTCTATTTTCAGCTCAGGTCATGATCTCAGGGTCCTGGGATCAAGCCCTGTGTTGGGCTCCCCACTCAGTGAGGAGCCTGCTTCTCTCTCTCTCCCACTCTCCCTACTTGTGTTCCCTCTCTCACTGTGTCTCTCTCTGTCAAGTAAATAAAATTTTTAAAGATTAATTAATTAATTAATTAATTGAAAAGATGTAACTACTTAATTCAGTTGGTGAACCTTGGTTAGATCCTGGTTCGAAAAACTATAAAAAAAACATGGGAAATATGGAGAAAGATTTTAATATGTTGAAGTATTGATGGTAAAGTATCATGGGGTCTATAATTTTCAAATGATTCAGCAAATTAATAATAACAATATAAATATATATCATATATATGTACATATGTATACACACACACACACACATATATATGTAAATACAAACATACATAGACAGACCCAGATATGCCAAAATGTTACCTGTTGACTCTAGCTGGTCAGTTCATGGGTACTAAGTATCCTAGCCTTTCAACTCTCCTATACACTTGAAAAAACTCAATTAAAAAGTAACAAACTTTTGCATTTAATGTTCAACATGTACAGTACCTGGTTCTTGAGTGACATCTACTTTTCCTACACTGATCTGAAGTATTTCACCGTTCTTTGCAAATGTCTCCCATTCTGAATCAGTCTGCTGGCAGGATGGACACCAAGGAGCATAACTGTAAAAGAAAAATTGTTAGTCAATACAAACATGAAAAAAATCTATAAAGCAAAGTAGAGAAATGGAGCATTTAAATTTAAAAAATAAATTCTTAACTAAAGGGAAGAACAGAAGCAAGCTTTTCTGAAGTTGCTTAATACAGAAAAAACAGAAGAATACTCCCCCCACAGCAGAACGTAACATATGAATATCAGTTCCCTGGTGATAAAACAACCAAAGTTTAAGAAGATTTTTATGAATTATTGTAATATATAAAATATTTTACTTCAATGTTATTCTTTTTTTTATTTTAAATTTTTTTAATAAACATATAATGTATTTTTATCCCCAGGGGTACAGGTCTGTGAATCGCCAGGTTTACACACTTCACAGCACTCATCATAGCACACACCCTCCCCAATGTCCATATCCCCACCACCCTCTCTCATCCCCCCTCCCCACAGCAACCCTCAGTCTGTTTTTTGAGATTGAGTCTTTTATGGTTTGTCTCCCTCCCGATCCCATCTTCTTCCATTTTTTTCTTTTCCTACCCCCCCAAACCCCTACATTGCATCTCCACTTCCTCATATCAGGGAGATCATATGATAGTTGTCTTTCTCCAATTGACTTATTTCGCGAAGCATAATACCCTCTAGTTCCATCCACGTGGTCGCAAATGGCAAGATTTCATTTCTTTTGATGGCTGCATAGTATTCCATTGTAGATATATACCACATCTTCTTTATCCATTCATCTGTTGATGGACATCTAGGTTCTTTCCATAGTTTGGCTATTGTCGACATTGCTGCTATAACATTCGGGTGCACGTTTGTATCTTTAGGATATATACCCGGTAGTGCAATCGCTGGGTCATATGGTAGCTCTATTTTCAGTTTTTTGAGGAACCTCCACACTGTTTTCCAGAGTGGTTGCACCAGCTTGCATTCCCATCAACAGTGTAGGAGGGTTCCCCTCTCTCCACATCCTCACCAGCATCTGTCATTTCTTGACTTGTTAATTTTAGCCATTCTGACTGGTGTGAGGTGGTATCTCACTGTGGTTTTGATTTGTATTTCCCTGATGCCGAGTGATGTGGAGCATTTTTTCATGTGTCTGTTGGCCATCTGGATGTCTTCTTTGCAGAAATGTCTGTTCATGTCCTCTGCCCTTCAATGTTATTCTTACAATGGACCCAAATTTTACTACTTTCCAGATAGTTTTTGATGGAGGATGAAACAGCTTTGAGTATGCCACTAAAGGAGGCCAATTTTCACAAGGATGTCTTCAAACTAGCCAAACCAGTTTCAGATTCATCGAAGTAAGATCTGATGGGTAGAGACCAGAAGATTTATTGCTAATGGGTCCCCCAAAATGCAAGTCATTTCCGAAGATTTGTGGCAGTTCTGAACCATTCAGAGAAAGTAGAAGCTACAGACTAAGCTTGCTCCACAGACTCTTTCTTAAATAGAAGAAGGGTTAGAAATAAACACTTGGCTGGGGCACCTGGATGGCTCAGTTGGTTAAGTGTCTGCCTTGGGCTGGGGTCATGATCCTAGGGTCCTGGGACAAGCCCCACATCAGTCTCCTGGCTCAGTGAGCCTACTTCTCCCTGTTTGTGTGCTCTCTCTCTCTCTCTGGCAGATAAATACATAAAATCTTTAAAAATGAATAAATACTTGGGCCTTCAACCAGAACTCTATTGTTTTAGATTATTTTTTCATTCAATTAACATGATCTAAGGACCATGTTAAAAACTGAGGCTACCCCTGTGAACAAGACAGATGTGGTGTCTCCTTCCTCCTTGTGGAGTCATCCATAGATGAAAAGAGGTAAGTACGGGGATAATGACAATCAAAGAGGCAGGTGCCATGCCTGAGAATGAGGAACAGATGCTATGGAACACTCAGAAGCTGGGTGAACTCAGAAGAGCCCACAGAGAAAGAAGCATCTGTACTAAGATCTAAAGTAAGAGTAATAGGCAGAGAGGGGTCAAGGAATGTTCTAACCCAAGCAGAGAGAACAGGAAGTGTGAAGACAGAGTATTGACAGGACAGGATGAAAACATCATTCACAGCCTTTAAAAATGTTGTATAAGGAGTCAGGACTTTATTCCAAGCTCCATGACTGATGCCCTAAAAAAAGTTAAGACTCATGATCAGATTTACATTTTTGGAAAAGTCATCTGGCAGCTCTGTGGATAATGGATCAGGGACAGATAAGACGGAAGCAAACTGGAAGGCTGTGCTTCCTCTTGGTAATATGCTAATGGCCTCACTTTGCCTCCCATGACGCTAGAAAACATCATAAATGGGCCATAAAGTTCCAATGTGTTCCAGGATGTCATATGCAGATGTTAAAATAGGAATCGAGAGAAAACTGCTGTTTAGAAAGGATAGTGGATCGCACAGTCTATCTTAAAAAAGAGTCCTAACCCCCCATACTCATGCATATGATCTTATCCTGAATAAGGGTATTTACACACATAATTAAAATAAATATCTTGATGTGAGCTATTCCTGGATTTAGAGTAGGTTCTCATAAAAGAAAGAAGAGCAAAGTGTGACACAGAAACACAGGAGGAAGGCCATGTGGAGATGCAGTCCGAGATGGGTGGTTTGTAGCTACAGGCCAAGGAAGGCCAAGGACTGCTGGCAGCCACAGAAGCTAAGAGAGGCATGGAACAGAAGCTCTCCCAGAGCCTCCAGAGGGAGCCAACCTTGCTAACATGGTGATTTTGGAATTTTGGTCTCCAGAATTGTGAGAGGATAAATTTCCACTGTTTAAAGCTACTAAGTAGGTGGTAATTTGCAGTAGTCCAAGGAAACTTCCACAGAAAGGAAAGTATCATTTGAAATTAGAAGCAATTGGGATCAAATATGCCTCATGGAGACTTAAAAAGCTGGTAGAGCTATGCTTAATATAAAATACTGTGAACAAACAATAACATACACTAGAAATCCATGTTAAAATACTAACATAGGACACAATTAAAAGGAAAATTAACATTTACAGAACAACGTGACAAAAATACATGAATACAAATGGAGAGACATTCCATTTTCCTTAATAATACCCGGAAGAATAAAAGCAGTAAATAAAATTAATTAATCAATGCTCACAAAATAGGACAGGATACTCCAGGAAAAACATCCCCAGACATTTTGAATAATATTTCAGGATGCCATCAACTAGACATGGTATTTTAAAAATCTGCTTAAATCTGTTCAGATTATATTTTTTAAAAATCCTCAACTCAAGTCAAAATGCTGAGGGAATAAATGCAATAGGTTCTTTTAAAAGACTTGATATCACTGAAGCATTTATGTACAATGGGTGAATTTTATAGTACATAAATTATGCCACCCAGGGATAGAGGGCAAGAGACATGGATGAACCAATGTTGGCAATATGTTGATACAACTACTGAATCTGGATGATGGATGATGGGGCTTCGTTACACTACTCCTATTTTTGTTTATGTATGAGATTTTCCTAATAAATAGTTTTTGTTGTTTTACTGAGGTATAACTAAGGTATAACTGACTTATAACATTATGTAAGTTTTAGGTAGAACATAATGATCAAATATATTTCTTAAAGATTTGATTAAATGGAAAGATCCAACAAGTTCTGGATGGGCAGGCTCAACATTGTGAAAATTTTTATTTCCCCCCAATTTATTTTCCATTTTTTTTCCATTCCTGAATTATTTTTACAAAATGTGGCATCTATTATTTCCATATTAAGAGAAGGAAGGGGTAGGGGGAAAAGAGGAGGAAACAATGTCTGCCAAAAGAATAAAACAAACACAAACAGGAAAAAATGCCTTAGGAAAGGAAATAAAGGGGAAAAAACATTAAATGATCAAATTCTATAACAAGATTTAGGCTCAAAGGTGCTGTCAGGTCATCATTCACGAACCCTTTCACCTTGACCTGAGCAGAAGCGTGGCTGGAAGTGCCATGCAACACTCAAGGCAATGATGCATACGAACCAACTTTCCTGAAAAACAACAACAACAACAAACCCATCTCTGAAATGGGGCAATACTTTGCTCCTTCACATTCTGAAAGGGGAAAGGGGGGTGTTAAAAGTCAACATGATGGGAGGTCGCATTTATTTCAAGACAAGTATTGAGATTGGGTACAGCCCAGGAGAACAAGGACTACCCAAAGCAAGGCATGCATTTCTCTCTCCAGCCAGGCTCCAGAAGCTTCCAGACTCTAGCACAATTGTTCATCCTAAGGACTGTTCATCTGTCTCTAGAAGGGTCTAGTATAGCCAATTCCAAGATAATTCTAAAAAGTCATTAATCTTCTCATTACAGCTCACTGTGTAATCCCTGAAACCCCAGAGATATGGACCAGAGAACATGGACCAGGAACCATCTGCTGACATCTTTGACCACGGCTGATTTTAAACATTTCCAGGGCAAAGTATATACCTGGTACATAAATATTTGCTGAATAAATAAATGAACAAACTTCAAAGAAAATAACTCATTGAGGAAAGTCATTTTCTACATAATTAAAAAAAATATCTGTATGGCAGATGATACTGGGGCAAGCAGTTGGTAAACTTTAGGGATAAAGAGAACATTTTATTATTTAGTACTTCAATGGGCATTTCAGTGTATTAAATAAGAGTTCTGCCAAAGGACTCAACAAGACCAACCACAAGTATCCATGTGACTTTGGTCAGATTAGTAATCACTCCATGCCTCAGCTTCCTCAACTGCAAAATGGGACAGTAACAGCAGCTTCCTTAGGAGGTTACTGGGAGATTAAATGACTTATATAAAGCAGGCACATATTAAGAACAATCACTAATACTACTTACATTTGTAATATACTGCTTGGTTTCCAAGACACTTTGATGATGCTTTAGAGTTCATCTGAACCTTACAACGTCACTGTCAAACAGACAAGGCGGGTATAAAGGACCTTGCTTAAGGTCACCTCAGACCACACAGAACAAGAACCCAGATGGAGGCAGTTATGTGATAAAACCTCCAAGGAA